TTTTGAATTCGTTATAATGAATTTTTAAATTTGTTATAACAGATTAAATTCGTTTTAACGAATTCAAAGAAATTGTTATAACGAATTAAATTCGTTATAATATACTCGACAATTCGTTATATCGAATTCAAAAATATTTTTGATAGGTCCTAAATGGGCTTCCGTATATTCCAAAGAACAGCGAACGATAGTATTGTTCTCCCGCCTACCTCCAAGTCAATTTTTTGAAAAGTTAACATATTTGAATGATTTTTCATATCTATATATCGCTCCGTGATCGGAAAGTGTGAGTTCGAATCTCGGCCGCGACTGACCTAAGTCGATAAAAAATGGGTAGCAACTGCTCCTTCGCCATGCGCTCGGCACTTTGAAGTGAAAGTTGCGGGTCCTTCGGATGAGACCTTAAAAACCGAGGCCCCGTATCACGGCAGGCGTTGGCACGATAAAGATCCCCCACTGCTCAATGGTTCTGAGTACCGAGTAAAGGTCAAAATTTGAAGCCCTTCACCGGTATATGGTGACGTCTTTATATGAGTAAAAAATACTCGAATGGGACGTAAAACAACATTCAATCAATCAATCAATCAATCATATCTATATACATGTAGATATTTATGTGAATTTTCTAGGGATGGCAATTTGTAATCGGTTAACCGGTTACTCGGTCGGAACGATGGTAATCGGTTAGAAAATCTGTAATCGGTTAGTCGGAAAAAAATTAATATATGTGTTAATTTAATACAATTTCCTGAACATTCAATGTAAAAAATACAAATAAAATTTTCTGAAATGTTAGCATGTTCACCTATCAGATTTAATCTGATTCGGAGATAATTAAGGCTCTCCAGATCGACATCGCGTGGGGTAATTGGTCATTTTTCGAGTCGTTAATTGCTGTCTAAACACATATGTCGTTACCCTGTCCTGTGTTTCTTTTATGATTTCAGTTAAATGATCGTTGACTTCTGTGAACTAAGTATGATGTGTACCTTACCCCCTCTATCCTTTGCAGTTACCTATCAAATTATATTCTAAAACAAACATCGTAAGATAAGCGATAATTCAGACTTAATTTTGATTATGGTGAAAATGCAGACTGAACTTCCGTGACATCTTTTCTGAAATTTTTTTAATGCATCTGCAACCTCAGGATGTTTCATGAGTTTCTTAATTTTTTCTTTCCCTTTTCCTATTTTTTTATTCCCATTAAAATTGAAATACAATATATGCTATGCAGTATTCTGATTATGTATAAATATTAGCATAATATTACTACATGAACATCTTTATGGTCTTACTTATTTGAGTGTAGCTATGTCGAGAATTTTTGATACAATTAACCGACTAATCGGTCGGAACGTCTTGCGGTTAACCGATTGGCAATTTTTTATTCGATTGCCATCCCTAGAATTTTCATAAAATATTACTTATTTGGAAAAAACAGAGATAACTCTATAATTTTGCTAAAACTTGTGTTTTTCACTATAGAAATCAATGGAAAACGGAAAATATTTTTAAAACATCTTCCCTCCCCCCCTCCCCCCCCCCCCCCCCCCGTGAAACATAAATTCCTTTTTACAGGTATGTAGATTGTTATTTCACAAATTCAAACCAAAGCTTTTTGTGTTTCACGGGAGGGGGGGGGGCATATGTTTACAGACAAAAAACGACAAAAATGCTCTTTTTATCACCAATTTCGAAGGGCTTTACAAAAGTTGTATTTTATCTATTACATATGTTAAATTTTATATGAGTAAAACATAAGGAAAGATTTAAAGAACATTTATCCATATCCAAGAATATTTCAAAATATGCTGATGCTTTCAAGCCTGATTTCAATGGAAAACATTGTCTACCCCCCTTATAAAAAGAGCTGGAATTAAGAGTAATTAACTATTTAACACTGGTATTAAAATTATTAATCAATTAACATTGAACTCTTCTTTGCATTCAACAAAGAGTTTATGGCCAAATTGCCATTAGTATTGAATTAAATGGGTCTAAATTGTAGGCGGAAATCAAGAGTTAGCGTACGTAGTTCTTATTTGATTTTGACATTTAAATGTATGAAAAAATCAAATCAAATCAATATGCCTCATTGAAAACAAGAACATTTATCAATAACACAAATCATTTAGAATTCTTACATCCAAAACAAACAAATCCAAACAACTTAGATGTGATCAGTGTTACTAAACAATGGTTCAAGTTACTTACACCATATAATTTTGTTGATAATGTGCAGATATCCGATGGCCTTGGTCATAAATACAACTCAGGAGCTATACTCTCATTATGTAATGACCACGCCAATCGGGTATCTCAACCGAACCAACAATATTTTACTTTCATCTAAATTACTTATATTTGATTTGTTGAGAAACATTTGTTAAAAAACATGGTTACCCTCTGAATGATGAAACCAGGCCCTCCAGCGAGATAGCAACAGAATTCAGTACAATTTCATTATAAATATTTCAGGATTGATTTTACATTAACT